ATAGGTACTACTATTGCGCGGTTTGGCCTAGTTTGAGGCTGCGCAGGCGCCCATGCCGGGAGAGTGACTTCCGTTGATAGGGTCCGGTTGTTTTTTACTATAAAAACTTATTATTGTTGTTACAAGTTTTTCGTAACGATCAAGAAACGCATTTTTACTGAATGGAGTTAAGTAGCAATGTAAGTAGCTTGAAATATTAATATTATCCGCATTAATTTTACATTTTTGATGTTCATATAATATGTATAAATGTAATTTGCTCTGTTATCAAAGATGGTACCAATTCCGATATGATTCTCTAAATTAAACATCAGTCTCTCCTTTTCATTCTGTATAGATAATGAAGAAGATACACTGTTGTCAAATTTAATTTTAGTACTAGAGGAACATGCCGATACCCACCTACTTAAAATAAATTTAATATTGCTTAATAATTGAATGAATTGGGGATTCTTCTGATATTTATTAAAATAAAGGATTAATCTTCAGGTTCTTAAAAAATATAAACTTTGAAAAGCTTTATTTCGGAAACTATTGTGTCTACCTACAGAGACAATTTTCTCTCTATTGTAGACAAGGCTCTTATTGTAGCAAACTTAGTCTGCTTTAAGATCGTCTTTAGAAGATACTATCATAAGCAAGCCCTTTCGGGTTATAATCGCCAAAATCTAAAAACAAAGCTGAAATTTTCGGGGTTTATTTTTGTTTTTTGACATAGTTGCGTTCGGAACTCATGGTCACAAACTTGGATTATTCAACATGATAAACATGGTTGCAAAAAATCCAAACTACCGGATTTGGCACAAACTATCCCGTACTTTCAGGCGACAATTTTATCGTACTAGGTACAAGATTATGCTCTGTTTAGTTTAGAACTAAATAAAAAAAGTCAGATTTTTTTATTATTTTGCGCCGACCCTTTAAATGGAAACAGAATAGGCGTATTATGGTAAAGATTTCATTAACTATATTAAAAATAAATATTGGTTTATTTGTAATGATAAAAAAAGTTTGCTTATAGCGTGTTAGTAAATGTTACTTAGAAGGTAACATGCTTTACTTACGTTTGTAGGAGACGCTCTATACATTTTAACTTTCATCATCAGCCTTTCAGGCCTTCCCTATGGATACAATCGGGTGATTTGGCCATGCCATGACCCACCGCGCGGGCCCAGTGAGGGTTGGTGGGTGTTAACGACTGCAGATGCAGCCCGGACCAACGACTTAACGTGCCTTCCGAAGCACGGAGGAGCTCGACATACTAAGTTTTTGGTCACCCGTTTTACCTTTATTTAAAAGCAATTACAATGATTAAATTTGTGAAATTTTTAACGAACTTTTAGGGCTCATGTCCACGAGACGGTACCCCCAAAAGTATATTATATGGCATAAGAAGACTAACGAGCAGACGAAGACCCGGTTTGACGCCGGGTTTAGCTCTGGCGAATTACCCTCTAGTGGGCATGAGCCGTTACAGTTCATGAGTTACAGACTTGTTCAAACTATGCATTGTCCTGCTTTAAACACACAAGTCACCAGAACGACGCCCATATATCGCCTCTTTGCGATGTCAACGTGACATTTTTAAAACTGCAATTTTTCGGGAAGCGAATTTTTTACATTAAAATTTAAATATAATCTAAAATATTGTTATTTTTACTGTCGGATTATGATTAATTTGTTAAACAAGTTAATGAACTTTATGAAAATAAGCAAATAAATCACAGTTCAATAACTTATTAGTATAAAATTTGGATGTTAAAAAAAACAGCAACATATGTCACGTTTTCTATGAAAATATGTGAAAAAATGCTTGTAACATATTGACATAGCACATTGAAGGTGTTAATTCGCGTGTTAGGCAGTGTGATAAGTTAAAAAAATACATTGTTAACATAAAAATATTGTAATTCCAAAGATAATAATTTTACCAAAATGATGGTTTATTTCCACCATCCAATACATAAAATTGGAATAAGACAGATAATTAATTAACAAGAGATCAGTAGCATTATAGGAACTAAGTACTTCCCTTAAAATTATTAAGTAACTGAAAATTACCCTTACATACAAATAAAAAAAAAACATACAAATAACAAATAAACAAAAGAATTATATTCTAGTGCAGTCTAAAAGAAATTAACGTCTTACGCATAATTACGGCACCGATTCTTTTATAATTAGGACTTATTCAAAATAGGAACATGTTTGCCTTACATAAACGTAGTATCACAAATTACCTTAATACTAGTAAAAATAATGTCAGTCAAAATAGCGCAGTTAAATACTTTTAAAAAATATAAGTCTAAAAACATTTATATTTAATCAGTCTTTAATTGTCCTGATTATATATTTTTCAAAGAATTGTACACTGACGAACTCTTCAAGAAAGCAATAGTTAAAAGAAAAAAGAAAAGTCACAATAACGAAACCTTTAATTTGGATATGAAAAAGGCATATCTTCAAAAACCTGGAATTACAACGATTCGTAAAATGGCTTATGGTATCTGGGGATGAGTTTCTTATTGACCAAATCCATGAGATCAGCTTTTTTTCTTTCGGCTATTCCAGGTTTTCGAAGATATGCCTATTTCATATCCAAATTAGGATTTTTTTTTATAGGCTTCGCATACGTTGCATAAATCTTTTTTAGGAGTGAAAAAGGACATGTTGAAATCTTGCGTGAAAATACGATAAAACATCATGTATGTTCCATAGGGGAGGTTCTGAGATTTGCATCTTTCCACATAATCTCTATGAAGATCTGTGACAGCTTTTCTACCATCAATATAAAGTCTTTTTGAGTTAGCCCGAATGTAATGAGACTCGATCTTTGGTATAGACTCAATAAACATTTTGATGCCATTTTTTATGCCTTCATCCACTTTGTTATGATTCTGATGACTACCTCGGTTATCTTTGATTGAAGAAATATTAGTGTCGTTATTTTTTTTCTTGAGAGCTGTTTCTATTGGTCGGTTATTAATTCCCAGAGTGTTTTTGAAGAACAATTTACATACTCTAGTTTTTGTGCCAGAAATAGTCAAAAAGAAAGCGTTATTGTTGTTCCGAGTAGTTGCAATATTTCCATCAGAATCTACTTTAACGTAACGATGTCTTGGGGTGACTATATCTACACTATTTTCTATAAACGTTCATTGCTTTTCTATTTCTCCTAAGTTCCAGTACTCATTTAAAATTTTCTGTCTTTGCTCCTCTGTAAACTTAGACCCACATTGGAATTTACATTTATCTTTGCAAACAGGTTTCAATGTACGATTTGGTATATTTCTTTTTGTTTTATAAGATTGATAAGACTTTCCACAATTTCTCAGTCGTTTTGCTACATTTGCCTTCCAGTTTGCTTCATTCTTTCTTCTTTTTTTACCAGATTTAGTTTGGCTTTCTGTAAGAACCGTTTGATTACTGCCAATACTTTCAATGGTGTCTGTTGTCACACCGGGATCGTTGGATACCATCTCATGGTCGTTTGTAGCCATAACTGCATTGCTCTCAATAAATGTATCATGATTGTTTTCTTGTAACGAAGCCATTAGGTGCTACTAAATCTAGGTCAACTGAGAGGTTATTACAGTTGGTAGTGTCACCTGGTTCCACGTCAAAATCAGAAGAATACTCAACACGTTTTGTTTGGTTGATTTCATAATCTGGATCCTTAACTGAGTCGTCGTTATCTAAAAAAAAAGGCTTATTAATAAATACATTGATAAGTAAGTGTAACGTACGTCATAATGCTTTTGGGAAATATTCGAATACGAAATTTAAGGGTTAAATCAATAGAGCGCTGCTAGTTTTATTATCAATATATATTTTATTCTATTTACAATAAAACTACCTTGATATTTAGATGGACCACTACTGGAAGAACTGCTCGAACAGGAAGAATTGTTGAACTCAAGGAACTGCTGCTACTTCGCGAATCAGAACGGGGCCGAATGGTATCGTTGTCCTTATCTACAAAGATAATAATTAAAACAATTGAATTATACACCTAACAAAAAAATCATATTCAGAACGTAAAAAAATTACCAACCTTCTGATAATGTCTTCGATGCATTTTCATTATTTTCAACTCTAGTCGCTAATTCAACTAGTTTCCTAGATCGCGATCCCATCTGAAAAAAAAAGTTCATAACAGTGATTTTATTTTAGTATGTACAATGTAATATTTTAGAATATTCAACGTTAAAAAGAAAAGGATTTCAAAAAAAGTGAATCATAAGGAAATAACCAATACGATTTTTATATATTAATAAACAATTCATCAACAACATCGTTGTATTATAAGATATCACAAAGAAAAATAGTAACGTTGTCATCAATAATGTGACAAACTTATTTATTTCAGTCTGGACACACACAAGTTTTACAATAATAATAAGTTAATTAACAATATCACACTGTATAATAAAAATCTAATAAAAACAAAAAGCATACCTTTGCAATAAAAACGTGGTATGATCGTAATGTCACGTTTTTTGTGAAAAGCGGGAGCACTTCACTCGCGGCGCGTGCGGAGTCAACTGACTTGTCGCGTTGTCGAAGTAAACGACACACACCAAATGAGAAAACGTGATAACGCTATTTGACACGGTAGTACTGTCTCTTTCACTCATAATTCCTCCACCACTCTCGTTTAAAATACCACGTTTTTATGGAAAATAAAATTCGATACCGCGGTTTTGATTATCAAATAATAAAAAAAACGTTTTTAATGACATGTCACGTTGTCATCGCAAAGAGGCGATATGTTATCTCTTTTAAATTTCCTGTGACTTGTATCTCACGTCAAGCAGTTGGCCTGAGTTCCTTTACAGATATTCCTACTAGGCCAAATAAGGCCCATTGCATGCTTTAGCAAGAAGAACATTAATAAGCTAGTAAACAATAACCTTAAAATAACTGTCACCGTGTTAGTAGATAATGCAATCATGCAATTTTATTACAGTGTGTTCTGAAAATTAATTGTGGATACTTACAATAGTATGACTGCATTGAGATTTGTATGGCGGAATCATCTGAAAGAATTTGTGCAATTTGCTATTTTTTTCTGGTAGGTATTGTCTTGTGTTATGAATTAGGATAAAGTCATCAATGAGTTGAGAAAACAATAAATGCAAATAAACTACTTTCTAATTCTAATTTTGATTGAATCAACATTGCTACAGCTCAACAAAAGGGCTCATAATATTTTTTGCCTTAATTTATAAAAGTTTTCTAACAAGTTTGAGGAAACTGTATGAGTACCAAAATAAAAATGTCTTTGAGTGTAGTTTAATCATGAAAGAGATTCTTTGGAGTAAGAAATTATCTTGATCAATACATGTATCCCTGAAGGACTGTCCTTCATTCAGCATTTAAGCATGTTTGATTGAATATGTTGTCCGATGTATGTAGTCAATACCACACAAAAAGTTATTTTTATATAAAATGAGATTAGAAAATTATTCTTAGCACTATAGAAAACATATATTTTTGGCAAGAAATTCAAACTATGAATCATACCACCACACTCAATAGATATTAATATAGTTGCAAGCTTGATTAATGTGGATGATGCCACAGTAAAAAAAACATTAATTGAATGATTGAAAATTATTAATTACAGCAACAGTACTATACTACATTTCCAGATTATAACTAGCAGAGTTTGGTCCAATTTAAACTTCTAATTTCAAATATTTATTTATTATAATCTTCTTCTAATCACAAATTGAATAGTATTCATCTCTCACTTATCATCACTCATTAAAAGGTATTGGATAGAAGTTGAAGTTAGACAAAAAAGGGATGTTCTTATTGGGAAACATGGCTTAAATTATTTTTGTGCGATTTTGTATCAAAACTATTAATAATTAAATTGATATACAAGTCTAAGTAACATAAATGTTAGCATTAGCTATAGTACAAAATTAAATCTACTTAATTATTAGCTGTAACAGTGTTGCTAGTTTTAAGTTTCATAATGAATATCAGAAAATAATCATAATGAATTTTTAATCAAACATAGTGCAAGTGTATTTCTATTGAAATTAATTGATATGATACAAGATTTGTTAAGTTATTTCTCTTGAGGAAGGAATATATTTACAGAAAGAAGTTTTAAAGAAACTGTATATACTAATGTTAAAACTTAGAAGACATGATCTATGCAACTCACAGCTGTAAAAGTAGCCCCAATTTGGTAATCCGACAGCAACGGCACCTATGACGAAGCAAATGAATCCGAAGACTACAACGCCAACAGAATATAGAGCCTTGTTGCACCCCATGGCCGCATGACTCAGCCTAGCTCGTGTGAAAATAACATCAGGATCAATTTGTTCTACGACTGGATTGCAGTGTACATTTTGTTATCAACATCTGTAATGAGAGAATTTTTTGTGAAATTTTGAGTTGCTCTATAATTGTCTCATAATTTAGTTGTAGTGTTATGAAAGAAAGATGCAATTTGAGTAATGATTTAGGTTATTCATTTTAGTAGATTCATAATGAAGTGACATAAAATAAGAGATCGTTAAGATTGCTTGTCTATTAAGTAGAATCTAATTGGAATATGGAAAAAGTCTAGATCATAAAGTAATTATTAAGCCAGTCATCAGAATACTCCGTGATCATGGCGCTTGCAACAGTGCCGAAATATCGGAGACTCATAAAAAACAAGGTACATGGTAACAATCCCGTTAATATCTATAATATAAAGTCATCAGAATGTTACTTATAAAGTTTACCAAGTTGATATACCTACATTATTGCACCACTAAATACCAGTCTCAAGTCAAAATATGAAAGGCAAAAGTTTGAATAACGCGCTGTCTAAATATTTACATTGAAAACAAGCGAACTTTGTAACTAAAATATTATTTGTTGTAACGAATATATTCTCATATCTCTCTCTTTACCGTGGTAATTCAAGCATAGAACGTACAAAGACGAGGAACAGTTATATGTTACTTTTACTTACGTTGGGAGAAGTTAACGTGCAATCATCACTAGAAAATTCAGTAAAAGAAGTCGGCCCCTAAACTTTGCAATTTACAAAACATCTCTTTAGAGCACAATCACAATAAAAAAAAACACTTGTTTTCACGCGAATACACTAAAGTTCACCAATTCGAAACATGACACACCTTTATCACAACAACACAACCTTTCTAAAGTTTATTATCAATTTTATGCATTTTTTTAGAATATAATATTGAAAACTCTTGACTCAGAGACTCAGACAAAAGTCAAAAGAATTCTTATACTAAAAATATTATCGCTGTCGCGAGCGATATGAACGTGATCGGTACGGAAACTGGTTTTTTGATTTTGTAATTTGTATAGTTTTGTATTGTATTCAGGTGAGAGAGCAGAGCGCTAGCGAGCGAGCGGGTAGATCAATGTGACCAGATTATTTTTTCGAAAATACTGAAACTCCTACTATAATAACTATACTAAAAAAATATAATAATGTACAAGTCTATTCATAAATTATCATGAGAAATTTGTATCTAAAACTTAGACATGCGTCTGGACTTTGGATGCACCAAGTCAAAGATAAATATGTCAGAAACTCCCTACAAATATTAGGAAGTTTCTTAGGAGCCCTTTTACCAAATTGCGCCGCTGCCGTACTGATTGGCGCGTAGTTAGATTTGTCTAATATATATTGCATTTTACGGGTGATGTTTCGAGTCTTATAAAACACGAATTATAAAATTAATAACATATATCAGTAGTTCAATGATGGTAGATTAGTTTTATGAAAGTTTTTCATAGTAATTCTATTTAATTCAATATCAAAATACATGGTAAACCTGCATAATTTTTTGGGGAAACTTCCGGAGGTCAGATGTTTTTTTTAATAGTTAATGAGATGGAAAATCAAGATTCTAATACATTATGTTACAACAAAATCATATCTCTGATGTCGTAGTAATTAATGATCTAATTTGTTGAACATTATTTAGTGATGCAGGCGTTTAAAGTTGTGCATATTATCGTTTTTTCCGTAAACTAGCTGCGGTAGAACGATCAGTACAAAAAAAGGAAAATAGTATTTGCAAATATTCTACATTAACTTACAATAAGAAGAATAAGTCGTTAGCACCCACCAATCCGCACTGGGCCCGCGTGGTGGGTCATGGCCCAATCTCCCTATTCCATCCATAGGGAAGTGCCTGTGCCCCAGCAGTGGGGACATTAATAGGCTGATGATGATGATGATGAAGAAGAATCTACTAGTTTACTTTTATTGGAAATAGTCAAAATCTTTTCTAAGGACCCTCCTAATTTTTGAGCGCTTCGTTTACCCAACGAGGCGCTAAAAAATTAGGATGTTTTGCAAAAAATGTGAAAGGGCTCTTAAAATTTAAGTAGTACTTATAAAAAATCACATAAACACAGTAATAAAATAAACTTTAACCTCCTTATTCCTAAACACTCACTAAAGTTAGTCATGGTTAAAACCTAATGTTTTCGTCTTCATTTTAGCAAAGCAAATGACAGCATCAATTTTAAACCAGGTTTAAATTTTGTCATAGTTTTGCAATAAGGTGGTAAGTGATTATATATACATTTGTTTAAATTTAAAACAATTTCTTCAGGTCTTTAAATCAAACACTTCATACTTAAAATAATGAAATATTTAACTATATTTCATAGTCTAATATAATTAGGTCAAATGCGTAGAGTTTAATTTAAATTGGAGCATTGTGATAATTTTGTTTAGTTTGCTATATTTCACTGACTGTACACAAGGGATTTAAAAAGTTCGTTTCGTCTAAATTTGACAAAATATCCCTTTAGATATTAAATTGTATCTCTTTATTTTACTACATTTAGTCCATTAAAACGCAATCTAAAAATTCTAACTTTACACCACGCTTCGCAATCATAAGGTAGTATGTAACACGATGAATGATTTACCTTATTATGTAAGCTTTAACCATGAGATAGTATGGTTCGCGGATGATACATCATTTTTATTTAAACTCAAACGCAAGGAAACAGTTATTGACGACGTGAACAATTGTATCTCTAAGGTAGTCCACTGTTTCAATGTGAATAATTTATTAATTAATGAAGGTAAAACAAAATGTATGAAATTTGTATTACCTAAGTTAAAACCAGTGTGAATGTTAAGGCTAGGAATATGGGCCTTGTAGACACCACGGTATTCTTAGGAATTACTTTGTATTCTAAGCTTCCATGGGGCGGGCCCACATATTGATAAATTGGCTCTGCAGCATCTGCCTTAATGAAGATACACCAGTTAACGGATGTACTGTATTTTAGTTATTTCTATAGTGTAATGTCGTACGGAATTTTACATTGATACTATTTTTGTGCTGCACAAGAGAGCTATTCGATCAATTTATAATCTTAAAGTTAAAGAATCCTTAAGAGATACGTTTAAAGAAATTGGCAAAATGACGGTCACATCACAATACATACACGAAAATGTATTACTTATACAAAAAAATATTAACTGGTTTTAAAAATAGTGATGTTCCACACTTAATACAATGAACAAAAATAAACTAACTTTACCTGCTTCACAAAATCAATAATACATTTAATGGTCTTTGTGTTCGCTTATACAATAAAGTCCTAAGTAATATCCAGGAGTTAACCGTAAACAAATTCAAAGATACTATAAAAAAAGCACTTATTAAGAAAGCTTATAAGGAGATGATTATATTACAGGCAAAAATTCTTGGGTTTGAATTGTTCCAATTATTCCAACAGGTTTTTTAATTAATATAAATCATGATTGTTGTAATTTATATTATTTACGGAATTGTTACCATGTACCTTGTTTTCAGCGAGTTTCCGATAATTCGGCACTGTTGCAAGGGTCATGATCACGGAGTAACAGTTACTTAATATTGGAAACTCGCTTAAGACAACATACCTGGTAACAATCCCGTAAATAACAAAAATGACTATAATGTTAGTAACAATGAAAGTTTAAAACAATAAAACATTATTGTTTTGACGTTGTAACAACAAAATGAATTGTAAATGTTGTTACATTACACTTTTAATGTTGTGGAGTTTTTCTCACTCATTTTTCTCCGCAGCTAAATAATTTCTCCAATAACGAGTGGTAGGGAAATGTGTTTTAGACGATTGAAAAGAATTCGATGTATAGAATTCGAATAAAGATATATTGATTTCTGACTAGTAAACGCCATGTGAACTTAATACTTCATTAAATATTACATTTTTTTATTGTATTGATTAATGATAGTACAATAGCAACCACCTGCTTTTTCAATTTTACATTATTTGTCCTGACAAGCATGGCATCATAGATCAATCCACTAAAACAACAAGGTCAGCGCAACAATTTCTTAGCCTTATATATTTGGTCTTACTATAAGTTACCCGTAACCAATAACAATATTATTAAGGACACTGTGGGCGTAATATAATGAAATACTTTATTACTTTAAAATTAATAGTTTTTGATGTTAATGATTATTAGATGTAGAGTTCACAATCGATAAAATAAAAAAGATGTTATAGGGAATTCCCGAAACAAGTTGCCATGTTTTGATTTCAATTATCTTTCCTCCTCGTGTTGCTTAATCTTCCAACTTATATTACATTCAATTGACAACTAAATTTTTTTAAGGCTATACCTAGAATATATCTTCATGGGCTAAATCTACCAAAAAGGCAGGATCCTACCACATGTGGTCACACTGATTGCTTGATGTTCACGCCGATGTGACATATTTTATTTTTAAGATTCTCCCTTTTAGGGAAGGCAAAGGAAACAATGCCCATACAGCCTAGTCTTATTTTTTTTACATTAGAATTTCGGTTTGACGCATTCTAATATTGTGAAGAGTGTTTAGCACGAAATGCATTGAGTTGGTTTTTCCGATAAGTTTCTGTGAGTAGATAACTCTACAATGGTGTCGATTCTGGCGTGATTCTCTAAAATTAAAACTAAATTTAACATCAGTCTCTCCTTTTCATTCTGTATAGTGAATGACAAGGATACACTGATGTCAAATTTAAGTTAAAATTAAAGAGGGCGTTTCAACTGGCCCCTTCTTTCCGAGGTGCAACCGTGCCGGTTCCTAGCTTCTAGGAATAAGTCTCACCTCAACTCTCAACTTCGGTACCTACATTGAGTCCAGAGCTCAACTAGCTGCAAAAAAGCTTGGCGTCCTCGCAAGGGTGCGGAAGTACTTTACTCCGGAACAGCTGCTCACCTTGTACCAAGCGCAAGTTCGCTCGTGCATGGAGTACTGTTCGCACCTTTGGGACGGTTCTGCAAAATATCAGCTAGTCTCTGGAGTGCATTGAGAGGCGTGCAAAGAAGCTCATCGGTAACGACAAATTATTCGAGACTAGACTCCAAAGTCTTGAACACAGGCGAAAAGTTGCCTCTTTATCGGTTTTTTACCAGTTACATTTCGGAGAGTGCGCTTCCGAGTTACATAACTTAATTCCACCTTCACCTTTTTACCACAGAACCACCAGAGAGACGGCAAAACGCCACAGATATACCGTAAAGGTCCCGCAAACTCGTACTAAACGATTTGCTTCCACCTATATAGTCAGAACAGCTAGGTTGTGGAACTCTTTGCCAGAATCTCTGTTTCCAGTCACCTATAATCTGGGGCTCTTCAAGTCGCGAGTGAATCGGTTTCTTCTAGGCAAGCGCGTCCCACCTTAGGGTACGGCCACAGTGCACTCAGATTCAGAATCAGATTCAGATTCAGAAAACAAGCGCGAGAAATAAACAGTGTAGTTTAAGGGTACGGCCAGAGTGCACTCAGATTCAGATTCAGACTCAGAAAACATCCGCGAGAAATTTACAGTGTGGTTTAAGCAGGTTGTCTGCTGCAACTATGGCCACCCTGCTTAGGGTACGGCCAGAGTGCACTCAGATTCAGACTCAGAAAACAAGCGCGAGAAATATACAGTGTAGTTTAAGCCTGTTGCCTGCTGCCACTATGGCCACCCTGCTTAAACTACACTGTTTATTTCTCGCGCTTGTTTTCTGAGTCTGAATCTGAGTGCACTCTGGCCGTACCCTTATGCTGCTACGTCGCTCTTCATCAGTCGCGTGGCCGTCAAGCGTAAGCCTATTTATTGTAAAAAAAAGAGAATCGTGCCGGAATCGACACCTCTAAAGTTCTCACGTCCACTTGACCGGAATACCGTAAATTTTAAAGATTCCACTAATTCTTCAGTTGCGCAGACGGTTGTCACAAAAAATCATACCAATTTTATTTCAAAATGTAAACTAAATAAATATTTTTTTTTAATAAATTTAAGAATAATTAAAATTAGACGCTAACCGCACTCGATGAAACCCCGCCAAAACTCCAAGATATTTTTTTTAATAAGCCTATCCTAGGAAGGCAAAAGGAACAAATGTCGATGGCTGTATAGGCCGTCGTTATAATTATAATGATTTATGTTATTCTAATCTATCATTTTGAGCTTTGTAATTTATTCAAAATATTATTCTTCTGTTACAAAAGCAAGGCAAACTATCAGTCTATGCAGGCCGCCTCGTCATCTCCGCATCGGTCTATGGTGTAACGCATTCGAATCTTTCTTCGAGTATTTGTCACGAAAACTAT